ACAACTGTTTTGTTCCAATGTTATCAATAAATCGCATTTCCGGTCCACCTGACCTTCGGAAGTCGGACTTTTTCACGAAAACTGTTAACAAACGGATGAAAGGTGTCGTCTTTCACGAGCTAGGAGCATTCACTGAATTACTACGGGTCGCATTAGAGAAGAAGCGCCCGCTCAAAGAATATGATGATCAACTGGACGACAGGGGATGATGAAAAGGACTGTTAGAAACAAGAGTAAAGCGAAAAGCAACCAAATAGCACCCACTTGATGAATACGGAACAACTGGTCTGATAAACGAACGTTAACGCAGTCGTGCTCCATTAGCCAACGATGAGCATCAAGCATCAACTAAAAAACGAATTCCTTAATGTCTAATCGGATATAGCACAATAAACACCAGTACGCTCGAAAACACCAGCTTTTCTTTTAGAGTTCGGTGCTAACGTATTTGGGGGGGGGGACCACGGGCGCGCGGCGAGTGATGGCTCTTCACTCATCGGCATACTTGAAGCGCGATTCTAGCAGTCAAATTAGAATAAAACAAACAAGGTTCACCGGGAACTTGCTGAGAAATCCCACGGTAGCCGAAACAAATGTTTGATCTTTTGTAGTCAACAATAGCAGTCAACAACAAACAGGCAACAAAATTTTGTAAATGATTCAAAAATCTTCCAGCCCACAACTGTTTCTTCGGACTTTTTAGCGTTACTGTATTAATATAGCTAGGTCGGTGTTATATCCATGTCCTAACACAAAATTACTTCTATTTTGCCGAGGAGGGAGCAGAAGAGCAGATGAGTCATCGCACGCCGCGAGCCGCGTGGTCCCCCTGTAGCGGACGGGTGCACCACTCCCGTATGTGCGATCGACATCGGCGGTCAACGCACTCAAACTCCCGGTGCGCCGACTTACCAGTCGGACGCCCCATCGGGCCCACTACACTCCTCCTGCGCACCGTTAACAGATAGGAGCGCGGACCACCCCTCGGGGACCATGGGGTCTTACCGCGTATTCAACCGCCCCAACAGCCTAGACGAACCAGGGTACCCAACCCTACCTACACATGGCCTAATACACACGTATTACCCACGCAATACACCACACCCACACGCACAAACGATGGCAATACCAACACATTGAAGCCGAACTACACATTGTGACTAACATTTGTACTACGCTCGTCCAACGGGCATCGTTCCATAGCTGGCTGCGCGTAATAGGCCCCCCTGGGCTCTGCCCCTCTAGCTACGTAATAGGCCTGCACGGCTTTACCCCTTGTACGTAATAGCGCAATATGCCCCCATCTTGCCGACGGTACTCCTCGATGCTCCATGCGATCGTCGATGTCCTCGTCGATGGGGCGGTTGATCCTCCCAGTCGGAGCAGGGGATGGACATCGGCCGGTTCATGGCCGGCGCTCGAGCTACCTCCAGCTTCGGAGTGGACTTCACCCCTCCACCTTCGGCGCTGTCACCGCGTTGACCCGTAAAGCAAGTGGGAAACGACCGAGCACCGGCTGCCAGCCGCCGAACGTACCATACTAGCCGACCGCAGGGGGCGGAGCCACGGCGCACGTGAATCGCACGCCGTGGGAACCGGGCACAGATGGGCCGGGGCGCGAGGTGCGCCCAACGGCGACCGTCGCATCCGCGACACCCCCCTCCCAAATACGTTAGCACCTAGAGTTTTAAGCGAGCGTTGTCAAAAAGTAAACAAAATCTAAAGCACACGTGATGGAAACATAAAGCGTCCGCACAGCTTCGATTGAAAAGAGGTTGATAAAAGGAAAACTAGACAAACAGAGAAAGTTTATATCACCAGTATCCCCGGAATTCTCAATGAGGCTATTTGCGACAGAATGCCTATATTAGGCAACGTTCAGTCTTCGCGACGGCAAAGCTTCGGTCGCGCGTTCGACGCGATCGATGCAGCTAAAAGCATGCGAATCGATCGTCGAATTGTGCGACCAAAACGCTGCCGTCGCGAAGTCTCAACGCCGCCTTAGGGCCCGTTCATATTTTGCGTCGGCGTTTCAGTACATTGGGAGGGTCGGCGTTCGAGCATAATGGGCCAATAGGAAAGTACATGTATCGATCTTTGGGGAGAGATGTCAGTGCTCAGTGCAACTCCCACATTGGGAGAATCGGTTGGAGCGTTTTGAATGGAAGCGGACTCGCTCCAGTGCTCAAAACCTTGGCATTACTGCCAAAACGCTAGACCGAACTTACACATTCCTTTTCGCTCCAGCGCCGATTCTTCCAAGAGGCCCAAAAGGCCGGCTCAATCCTTTTTTTCCGCGTTCAGTTGAGATTTTCCTCTCCCTTCGTGAGCAGGTAGTCAGGTCCGCTGAGGCGACAACTCCACCACTTTCGCGGCGCAAAAACGCGCGAGGAGAGCCACGATAACGTCGTTCTTCTCATTGGCCCAACCTAGAATCATTGGCACCGCCCTCCACTCATTCCTAAGGCCGCGTTCATACAGACGGCATCCGCGGCATCCGTGGCCCGCGGCAGGTCGCGAAGCAGTATGACGTCAGCGGCTCTTGATGTTTAGGGACGCTGGAACGCAATCAATACCTTGAAAAATGGGTTTCAGCTGATCTGGTTCAACTGGTCCCAACAAATGGACTGCAGCAAAATTTCGCCCTTGGGGTGTCCCTTTTTAACACATTGGCGACAAGGCGCCATTTCGCGTGTCTGCCGCGTGGGACAAAGCAGTTTTTCCCTATTTTCGAAGAATGTCGCCTAAATGCCTAGGGGTTATACGCTCAAAAAAATGGAGAATGGTCAGAATTATTGCAGAGTGGTGATAGGCTTCGCTATTCGTTTACTTTCATAGATAAAACCCTAAAATTTCAATGAAGTACTCTGCGCCTTCATTCAGGTGGACGCCTGGAAAAAGGTGGTCGCCAAAAAAAGGAATATTTTCGCGCCAGAGGTGGTAAATTGAATTCGATTCAGATGTGCTATTGTTGAAAGTTACCTTATCTCATTAGCTATCTGCATGTGGAATTTCCAAATGTGTTTTTTGTGTCTTCAATTACAGCATGATTATCAAGTTCCGAATAAGTTTCGGCGTCCCAACCAAGAGGCCGCGACGCGTACGCTTCGCGCTTGGCCGCAGAGGCCGCGGCCTCCGCGGAGGCTGCGGAGGCCACGGCCTCCGCGGCCTCTGCGGAATTTCCAAATCGATACGTATACTTTGCTTGCTCTGAAAATTCCGCAGAGGCCACGGATGCCGCGGAGGCTGCGGAGGCCACGGCCTCCGCGGAGAGGCCACGGATGCCGCGGAGGCTGCGGAGGCCACGGCCTGAAAATTCCGCAGAGGCCACGGATGCCGTCTGTATGAACGCGGCCTAATGGTTATCTGATGATGCGGTTGTTTCGCTGCTGCTTCTCTCCACGTCGAGTGGTGAGAGTGAGGTGATAAGGGAAAACAGCTGATATCAACAAGTGAGAACTCGTGCGACCGCACCTTCTCTTCGCCTTGAGCACGTACAACCTCAATTAAGCAAGGGGTTCTATATAGAGCCTTTCCTATGATTTCTTTCTGATTTTTCTTCACTAAGGGGTTACTTGCTACCTTGTTATAAGTATTTGAGCCGCATAACTCATCAAATTTGAATGCGGGCTCAGCCTTTAAATGTCATGTTCAAAAGGCCGATCCTTAAAAAACGTCAGATTACCACTGATACTTTCCTTTTCACTCGAAATACTCACTCTCCCAATACATCGAGTTGGTTCTTCCTATTTTAGCTATAACAGCTGAGTAAACCTGGTTTTGACGGAAGAAGCAGCGCGCAGAAAACTACAGCAGCGCCTTATTTCTACTTGGCATACTGGATATCCCAAAACGACGAGACTGTTTGCAGTTCAAAACTCTTCTTCCTTTCCTCCAAGTCCTACGTCGTATGAGCACGGTTCGAACAAGAAAAATATTAAGGAAGCCAGGTTCGGTCATTTTCGAGGAAAACGATGCAGTGTGAGACCAGAACAAAAACACGTTGAGGGTATAGCGTTTGAAGAAAACGCCAATTATTTGGTTGGCCCATAAGTAATGGCGTTTTTTCTCTCTAACAATTTTTTATATGAAAAGTGTAAATTGTTCCCCATATGTTCTATGCTATTCGATAGATAATCTTCTGCTCTATATAATAGCAAAACAGCCTTCCTACCTTTTCTTGGTTTCTGTCGATTTTTATTCCATTGAAGTGGAGCGTCGGGTCGACACAAAAAAAGAGTTTTTGACAACAACATTTTGCTTCGTATCTCGTCTCTCAAACTGCAGAAGCTCGAAACTCGAAAGTGATGCATACGACCAAGGAAAGATGCTTCTTAACAGCTTGAAGTTGGTTCAAGCGTTCAAAAGGTGAGAGTTTAGACCTTATAAGTGTGCATCGCATGGGGGGAGCCTCTTGGGGAGCCACAGCCTGCAGAACCTACCCATTTTTCAACGTCTAACATCAACTAAGGGTGGTGGTTGACAATGATAAGGAAGCATTCCATGACCTCAAATGATTCCTCAATCTTTGGCATGAATCTCCGTGAAGGAGGTAATCGCGTAAGCTTCCAGTTGGACAAAATAGGGCATTAGGTTCGATGCTTGCCTACCAAGTCGAAATTGTGATCTGTGAATCGTTCAAACCATTTTAAGCATTCCTAAGAGACACAGCCTCTTGGCCATATACTTAGCAACTGGCCTGTGCGGTTTTAGCTTCTTAATTAGGGTAAAAAAGAGAGGCTGTCGAAAATGCTCAATTTCGTCGATCTGACACTCCAGTTTGAGCACTTGAATGTTAGTGGAAACAGAACATATCAAAAAAAAACTTGGAAGACTATCGTATAAGCCAAAGAACTCTCTACAAAACAGCACAAAATTCAATGGCAAAACTGTTCATCTTCAGCGCGATATTTCGAGTGAGAAAAAAACGCCATTACTTATGGGCCGACCTAATAGTTTCAACAAAAAAAGCACCTATAAAAAAGGATGTAGGAAAGCATTCACGAAAAACGACATACCTCCATGTGCGGTCCATAGACAACAACGGAACCCGATGGACGCAACTTCGGGAATGTTACCTCCAAAATTGAAACGGGATCAACCTGAAGAACGAACAGTGAGCGGAAACACATGTAATTTCTGTATACTAGATAAAACACAATATGTGCGAAGAGATAAGGAGAAAATTGGTGAACATCTCACTGTTCTCGTTGCAATTATCAAGACATCAACGCCTTCCGCCAACAAAGCCAGACCCCGTTGCTCTCGAGCCAACCGATCTGCTCTTCGAATAGCTGACGAATCCTCAGCTTCCTATATCGACAGAAACACATTAATCATTACTAGAAAAAACAGCAAAAAAAGAAGATCTTCACATGGTCATGTGTAACTTCTTCCTTTTCTTCATTTTCCTCTTCCTTTGCATTTTTCGTCCCAAGGATGGAAGAGATACGAACGGGCAGAAATGTTGAAAAAATCTGGAACTAGAGCTTCTTTCGATTATCAACGCAATACTAATTCAGAACCGCCAACAAACGTTTGAACCTCTCCGAAGAAGGGAGAAAAACAAGAAAACATTCAAAACACTGCACCTTCTCATCGAAATTCATGCTATGTACACAAGGTATTGACTGGGCGATCAGTCCACGATGTAAATGAATGCATGCACCTTGTCCCCCGAGTCTTTCTATGACGCCAGCAGAAACCAGTCCTAGCACCTCCAAAATAAATTACATTAGTGATTACTTTTGGCTTGAACGAAGATACGGCAAATAAAGAATGAGCGGTTGTACCTGATCGAAAACTAGCACATTTCTTCCATGATGTACTGCTGCCAGTTGCAGAATCATTCCCAACTGATCTGTTCTGAAAGCGTTCAGTTAGACAAGTCCAATAGCCTCAGATATGACGAGAGGCTTTGATCTCGTTTTCAGGGACAAGTGAGCAGTCGATCGGTAGAGATGGAAGAAAACCGCATTGAGAGCTTCGTAAGATTTAGCGAATGCCTCCTAATATGCCTTGGCAGGTCGCGCCGTTTTAACAACACTTCATATCATGCTGCTCCTTTTGCTCCCGGTCTCAACCCTACTGTGTTCTATATATGAATGCTGGAGGTTTACAACGAAAAGGTTCCTAGTCAAATGACAATTTACCACTGGCTCAGCGAGTTCAATAATGGCGACTTTTCAATCAAAGATGAAGACAGGTCTGGGCGCCCTGTGGCATTGGATTTCAACTTGCTACGGAACAGTGTGGATGAGGATGCAGACCAAACCACTCGTCAACCGCCAAGCAGTCATGTTGTTTCCGACATATCGTTTTTCATGGACTGAAATAAGGTCCGGAAATTGGGTACCTGTGTACCTCAAGCTTTCAGCAACACAACATGCATCGCAAGGTAGACCTGGTGCTCAATCTACTCACTCTCAAGCGCATGTATGTGTGACTCGACAGCCTTGTAATTCAGGATGGGAAGTGGATACTCTTTTCTATCGTGTAACGCCGTGCCCAGCAGGTTGACGAAGCAGGAAAAGCAGGAGACGAGCCGAACCAGTTCATGGGAAGAATTGAAGGGCAGTGACGACAAGTCTACTTTACTCGGCTGCTGAAGTTGAGGACCCATCATAAAACTGCTCAGCCTTCAGCGCCATGTGGACGGTAAAGATTTCAAAAGACCTGATGGCATCGTTGAAAACTTAGAGGCACTCTTCGAGGCCCAGCCAGCCGTGTTCTGCAGGAAAAGCATCTATGATCTACCTCTACGCTGGCAGATGACCAGAGAACTAATGAGGATACTTCAAATAATATACTGTTTTTGTTGTGATGGTGTGAATTAATGAAAATTTTGCTTCAAAGAATCACTGCTTTCTTTACATTCGCCAACACATGCACTAACACATGCTTTAGCTGTCAATTCTCTCGAGCCTATTCATGATTTTTCTCTCTTCAACATAGACATTTTAATTCGTGCACAGATCGAATTCCTTCATTGAATTAGTAGTCCTTCATTTGACATAGACTATCAGCTGCACAGATTAAACTAACAGAGAGGAACAAATAAGAGGCGACGTCGAACAATGAAGAGCAATGAACATGAAAAAACACACCTGAGATTGGAAACACGAACACAGTCTTTCATGTAGTAAGAGCGCGCGAGGAGACGTACGGTAGGCTTCAGGATAAGCACTCTGAACGAAAGTTTCCAGAAAAAGACACCACGACTAGCAGTAGTATTCGCTGGCAGATGAAGAGAAAAGAAACCGATTAGTACAAACCTATCGGAATGTTTCTTCGTTTTCCGTCGAATATACTTGCTTTTACTGTACTCCGTCCTTGTACTGAACGATGCACTCCCTTCTACTAGTTTCGAAACCTTGAAAATAAATATGTGAAGGTATACGCTCTTTTGAAAAAACACAATTTACACTGGAGACATGCATTTTAATGTTAAGTTCAAGAGATTAAAGCGTTACCAATTCGCCTGCCGTGATACCTTGACCTTTCAAAGCAAGGACTTCTTCTTGGCTGAGCTTTTGAAGAGCCTGAGAAAAAAAAGTTTTACACTACAAATCCGATCCGAATCCGAAAAGCCAACGTCATACACCTGAGCGGGATTCAGCTCTATGTTGAATTCTTCTGGGACGGTCGATTCACTGCTATCAGCGCTACCGCTACCATTGACGTCGCGCAGCTCTGAATAATGATACTTACATAGTCTGTACCCTTGAGCGAGGCGGGGTATTTGCTGACATTGTGCGGCCCATAACTTCCAAAGAAATGAAATCGCCTGAAAAGATTCGGTGGAACTTGGAGGAACCTAACTAGAAGTCGGACTTTAAGGGTCGGGGGAGGAGTATGTCTGCTCCGTGAGACTATCACGCAGCGGAATAATCCAAGTCGTGGATGAAGAAAAAGGACTCAGAGGAGCTCCAGCGTGACTTTTTATCCCAGCTACGTTAGCAGTTGTAATAGTTTTTCAGAAGACAAAATAAGTTATGGAAGTAAAAACTTCAGGAGGAGGTGGTGCGGTGGCAAATAGCACGTACCTTGCGCTGCTCAAGGATAAAATACCGGACTGCCTCCCGCTTAGGCCAACCAGGCTATAACCCCCTAAGGGCGGCAAACTGGTACAAGATAGATAATAGGGATGATAGAAACACCTATTTCCACATCGGCCGGTCCCCGCAAGTCATTGTACTGAACAGCCCACACCGGATCCACTACCATCCACAATGGAAGTAGAATGCGTGTTGCATTCAAAACGGCACTGATCAACGGGAACACTTAAAATTTTCACCATTTTTGGTAGAATACTAACATACTCAAGCTCGAGCGAAGAAAAAAAGGTCAGAAAACGACTGCTTGCAAGGTAGTGCAGGTATTTGACAAGATGTGTTGTGCACTGGGCCACAATACAAAACGAAGAGGTACGAAGTACAGGAAGAACTCGAAAATCTTCGAAGAAGCCATTATAAAAACCTAACCTATATCGCCCACGCCTTCATCCTGAACCAGCTGCGAAGCGCACACAGGAGTAGCTTGACCGGACGTCACTTCAAACAGGCCATACGGATGCCCGAACACACTGCAAACCAGAATGAATGGAACTGGCTCTGAATGGCTAGATAAATTCAACTGATTTCGAATGCTATTCAAAAATCAAAAAAAAGCGAAAGCACTCTCAGGGTCTACTTGAGAAAGATATCTTCCAATGATCTCTTTCTTCAGAAAAATCTGAAGGCCCAATTTGCTGGAAACATTTTCCTGAGCTACTTTGACCTCCTGAACATGAACACCACATCCGCTCGACCTGAAATGGCCTGGAGCTCCACAGGCAACAGCGTCAAAAGATCCTGGATCCAAATTCGCTGAGATTCTGTCCCCTGGGGTAGTCTGGCCTCCTGAACACGAATATCAAATCTGCACAGGGTGCCAACTGACTTGGAATGGAGGAATGGGCTAGACATGAGGGATTGTCTGTTCCCCGAGATAGTGATCCATCATCTGCTAAGGCTGAGGGGATCACTGCTTTTGCCAGGCTCAGCCCTTCAAGACAACTAGATGGTCCCAGCGCCAAAAACGAAGGTGACATTTGTGATCAGCATGCCAAGTAACACCCGTACACAGTCTTCATCAATTTCGGCGAGAAAGATGAAGGCGCCAAATGCGCGCTCAATGCGTTAATCGGCCCTACCTCCAAAAACTAATGTCATACTCTGATCAGGGCAGCATGCGCTAGCTTCTATTCGCCTATTCCCTTCCTCTCTAAACTTAGAAAAGCATTGAGAAGATGCGGTCGCAGGTAACCCCTGAACAGAGAGCGGTCTTCGAAATAGCGTGCATTTATTGGTTTTACAACTGTTCTTGCTTTATATATCCTACCCATAGAGCTGAACAATTTCTGAAAACCGGAAAATTTCAAAAAAAACCTCTGCTATAACACTATGAATGCAACAAATGATATAAAGCGAATCTTCCAAAGTTTCCCCAAACACTACAACAGAATAAGCATACCTTTCAGCGTCAAACTTGAGTTTTTCGATCAGCAGCTTTCTGTTTGGGTGAAAGACGCATGACCCGAATATGTTCTCCACCAACTTTTTGAACAACCACATAGTTTCCTTTTTCTATGGTGTCGTACGCTGTCGTCGCAATGCGATCATTCATCACACGCCGTGACTAAAAACATGACGTTCCTTCAGAGGAGCATGCGATATCAACAGATTTTACCAAAGAAAGAAAACTTTGCGAAGCCGTTACACGAAAGTGTGGGAAAGGAACCGCGCACGCGACACGCGCTGCTGACAAGTGCTGTGTTTTTAGACCACGTTTTCGGCGCAGATGGAACCACGCACTTGACGGCTTTATGGAGTGTTATGTTAATCCATGCCTTTTCTTTTCCTAAACCAGAGCTAGTATTTGGGTGACGTAATTTCGATGATAAAAATGCAGCGGTATTCATGGAGACCTGTAGGCATTAACGTAGTTGGGAGGGGCCTCGCGGCGAGCGATGACTCATCTGCTCTTCTGCTCCCTCCTCGGCAAAATAGAAGTAATTTCGTGTTTAGGACATGAATATAACTTCGCCCTAGCTATATTGAGTCAAAACAGTTAACAGTGAAAAAGGCAAAGAAACAGTTTTAGGCTGCAAGGTTCTGCCACTACAAAATTTTGGTGCATGTTTTCGTTGACAAAAAATCAAATTTTTGCTTCTGTAGAATTCTTCAGCAAATTCCCGGTGGAATCTTGTTTGTTTTATTCTGATTTGGCTAGATTCGCGTTTCAAGTATGCCGATGAGTCATCGACTCGCCGCGAGCCGCGTAGCCCCTCCCAACTACGTCACCAACCTGTGTTCCGCTGAGCATGAGCCAATCGAAAAATTTGTACTCCACAAATACAACAGGGCTGATTGAAGGCAGTGGGCATGACTGCTGTAAGCGTGTGGTTGTTTTCGAAGTCAGTGGTGGGAAAGCTCCGAGCGGGCGGCACACTGCACTCATCCATTCCACCAATGACGTTGGCGCCAACCGCCCGCCTACACGGCAGTGCCAACTGCACCCATAACTACATCCCTCCCCTACCGTCGACTTCTTTGAGGACTTCACAACGGTGCACCCCGTTCCGAAAGCATGATGGGCTTAGGTAAGCGATTACTCCTCTGCCCACGACCTAAAGCGTGTAGTCCAATAGCTCTATGGGCAGCTTCAGGGATTTTTGAATCCATTCAGATTATGGACTGGGTAGTTTTCCAACTACAGGAGGAGACCGCTTTTGACGGGATTTCACCCGACGAAGTGAGCTCTCAAAAACGCCGATGAAAAACCGGCACCGAACATGAACTAGCTGATCATTTCATATTTGTATGCAAGCTTTGTAAGTTTCGAAATTGTCGCAGTGACATAAGTCGGCTGAGGTGGAACATTAAGGGACTCCTCATACGAAAGCGAAACGAGCATGAAGAATGAACCGTTTTTATCGTGCAACGAGGAGGCTTTATCAGAACGGGAACCCCTGTGTGCACGGAGTCCTGATTGCCCCTACCTAAGCCAGCTCGCCCCTATCATAGTTTTGATTTTGTCAGAGGCTCCTGACATTTGCTGCAATTTTTTGTTAAAAAGTTAAAAACAGCACAGGTCGTCTCACAGTGAATGCGGAAGTATACTCTAGTTCTCTGCGGGAGAAGGGGCGTGTCTGGCAGTATGAGTGTGTCCTGGCGCCAAAGCCGTTCTCTGCCGATTGCGGATATGCTACAACAACTGGTAGAAAATTCCAAAGATAGATAGGGTCTTGTCACTTGCGCGCTCCAACAACTGGTGGAGAAAGGGTTTGACACCTGCCAAACTCATCCCGCCTGACACGTCCCCTCCTCCGCCGCGAACTAGACTATAGCTGCTTGGCTAACTTTTTAAAATGTGCTCGTTTTGGGGGTTACAGGGCTTCTGTTCATGGGATGTTCTCTCGCTGCGAGGGTTCAGAGGTATTTTCTCACCGCACCTTGTCATCGTCTCTCGATCACCCTTTTCCTCTTTACGTCGTGCCCCGAGACATCGAGGTGTGGACGTGGCTCCAAAACTCGCTTCTGGTTATTTACAGCAATAAAATATCCTGCCCTACTCGCTTCGTCTGCTTCAACCGATTCTTGAATCGCCGTATGCTTTTAGCGCAGATCGGCGATCAAACCCGAACTGCCTGCGCGACAAGCGAGCATTCTACCACTGAACTAACACTTTTCCGGTGCATCTGCCAAAACTCCTTGTGGTCAAACATTTGAAGGGAAGAAGAATAAGGAAGAGGAAAGAGTGAAGGAAGAGGGAGAGGAAAACAATGAAGAAGGATGGATGCATGAGACTCCGCGCTTGACAGATGTCTTGAGACGCATTTTGTGAGCAGAAAGAGAGAGTGCAGTGACGGTCCAGTGTTTCCGCTTGATCATCCTCCTTCGGAATCGTATAATCAGAAGCTATGGAAAACCAGATTTCCACTATGAACTGCGGTAAAACTAGCTAGTTATACTCTGTTTCCTCGAACCAGAGTAGGAAGGGCATTTGAACATGGCACGGAATTGGTTACTCGTGGAATATTCCAGTCTGGGACAACTGTCATCTTGTTCTGTGTTGGACAGAGACACGACAACAATTGTGTCAAGATGAAAATATCCCACCAGAAGCACAGCCACCTTCAGGTTCAGTTGAAGCACGCAGCCACCCGATCTCAGGGATTTCGAGTATAATCCCATGAAAAAGTTCCACACAGCACCTGTTCCAGCTGATCCACGGATTTTCCTCCAAAAAAAGCGAAATATAGATTTTCGCGCTACTGTATTCGTTGCCTGCGTGGCATCGTTGGAGGGGCGGGGCGTGACACATTTCGGCTGCTCGATTTTGTCCGCTTTCTCGTTGTACTTGCCTTATTAAAATAGTCGTCGTAATCACTGTTGTTTATGGTTGACAAATGACTCATACCAACATCGATTTTCGTTGTGTCCTTGAAGACTAGGGGTCATCTTGTGTTTAGCGATGATATGCTACTCCTTTTTGCAGAATAACAGGAAGAGTTCTCTAATTTCCTAGTACACCTGCTTCTTCGCTAAATACCTCTCTTCTTTGTTATGAGTTCTTCTCTCCTCTGTATTGAAGTTGAGCACACTGAGATTCAAAAGAAGAGAAAATCTATGAGAATAATCGTCTCGATTCCGATTTTCTTTGAATCGCGCGTTGATCCCTGTGCAGTTAGTAGCCAAATCGACGAGGTTTCTGAGAAACTGTGGACATTATTTCTTACATTCATATATGTCAAAATGTTTTCTTGGTCAAGTGTTTCACACAGGGCAAGTTCTCGCTGGTGGAAGTTTTCGGAGAAGCTCATCTGGTGCTTCAGCGACCCCGTTCCCCCGGTTGCAAGACATCTGTCAGCCGGGCGCCCTCTCGCTATAAGGGTCCAAAGGTGCTTTCTCATCGCATCTCCTATTCGAGCATTCAAAGGTAGGAATAAGGAAGTAGGATGAGGAGAGAAGGAAGGAAGACTGAGTATGACCTCCCTCCCCCCCCCATCCCCTCGAATGTTCTCCCAACGATGTGAATAGCACAATAGCAGCAAAAAACAAAAATCTACCATCAAAGAAATTTGCTCAGACCAAGAACGACCCCCTCCCCTAGCGATTAGATACGACCCCGCTGAGGATGCCTCAGCGTACAACGTGCCCTGCTTCCACCTTCCTTAAGACCCCTGAATCCTTACAATCCAGGTAGTTAAACCTTTGCACATTTGACAGAGCCCATTGTCACAACACAGGACGAAGGGAAGGAACCGTTCTCAGGTTCCCCTTCTGAATTTAACTGTTTTCATGAGCGCATGAGGTTGCACCCGTGACTTAAGACCAGAACTTTCCACTTGCTGCGAAAAAAGTTGCAGTTGAGCGTCTCTGGAAGTCGTAAGCTTTTATGAAATTGTCCTGTCGAGTGTTCAGCCTTGTTTTTCCGAGCGCCACGTCGTTTCTCAGCTTTATCATTCGAAGCTGTGTATTTGATTTTTAGAGCAGTGGGAATGTCCGGCCACCTGCTTTCTATCTTGTTTTTCTTGGGACTTTTTCCTCGTGAACAAGGATTTTATGTGCCTGGAGTAGCTCCTGTTGAGTTCAAAAGTGGCGATCCTATTGAAGTGAAGGTATGCTTTCTAGTTTTCTTCAGTAATCCTTCGTTTTGTTTTCAATGATGTGAGTGCTTCAGGCAATTAAACTCACAAGTACAAAAACTATTGTTCCATACGAATATTACTACCTTCCATTTTGTCGTCCTGATGGGGATTTATTGTACAAGTCAGAAAATCTTGGTGAAGTGATGCGAGGAGATCGTATCGTGAACACTCCGTACCAGGTCAGATCGATGCAGTGAAGTGTGAAATTTGAAAACCATTTCATTCTTTGTTTATTTTCCAGTTATTTATGAAAAAGGACATTATCTGTTCTTCTGCTTGTACGAAGGCTCAACCGGTAGAGGTGAGCGCGTCAGCGGCGAAGAGGTTGATGGACCGTATAAAGGAAGATTATCACGCTCACTTGTGCGTTTAATGTACTATTATGGAGTTCCTTATTTTAAAAAGGAATTTATTTTAATACTTGGTTGTTGGAATTCATTCTTATTGACAGGCTGGTTGACAATCTTCCTTCTGCTACAAAATACGAGGTTCCAAAAACTGGAGAAGTTTTTTATGACCTTGGCTACAAAATCGGCTGGGTTGGCGAAGATGGCAAGGTAAGCGAAAACTTGTAGAAGTTAGCCTCATCTGTTACAACTGGCTAACACATCAACTAGGAGTATTGATTTGGAACTTTGTTCTTTTAGTTCAGTTCCACAACCAGTGAACGTAATGTTTGAAAAGCGAAAGTGATTAAAATGTTCGTAAGTCTCAACGGGATGCCCCCATGATGCACGCTTTTTTTGAATACGGATTTCTTTTCAATGAAACGGTATTTCTGGAACAGCAAGGGCCTAGGTTTGGTGGTAAGGTAAAACACAAACCCCACATATTGAAGGCCCGGTTTTCAAGTGATATGTTCGAGAACGCCTTTCTTTTCGGAGACAAAAGGGAACGAAGATTGCGTGGAACAACCTCGGTGCATTGTTGTTGTACCACATGACCCACCTCACCTTTCACCCTCAAAACACTCTTTTCCATGGCAGAAATCACGAGAAATGTCGCGGAATATGAGAGAAGGATGCTCGTATCCCATGACATTTCCCTCCCTTGATTCGAGAAAAATTCTCTGTGAACGTGGACTCCACAAGTTGTTCGCAGCGATATTGGGAACCAAACACTGCATAATTGAAGAATACTCAATGCGTGGTTTACTGAACCGTAGAGAGGGCGCATCATCGAGAATGGTCCAAATTTCTGTGGAGCAAAGAGGGAACTAAGTTCCCAAAGAGATCCCCTTGCGGGTCTCTTTTGGCAATTAGAGGTAAGGAGGTAGCCGAAGTTGGCCTTCGTGGCTGGAAATAGTCTTACTAGAAAGTTAGGACAACGCACTGGGCCGGCCTGTAAGTAATGGCGTCATCTTCTACTAAAAATTTTCGTTAAATGGTGAATAACTTGCCAAGATTTCTATATGTTTTGATAGGGAATTCCTTGCTCAGTAAGGTAATATGCTTAGTTTTTTTTTCAAGATTCCAGTATCATCTCATTCAAAAACGTTGAAGGTTTTATTCTAATTAAACGAAGAAGGAAGTCTTTGGTTCCAACTTGGATAGCTCCCACTTTTATCAGTGCGCTCCCAGTGTCCAGGTAGCGTTTAGACAAATAGCGCCTTCGTTTTTTTTCAGTGAGTAGGAATACTATGCTGTTGATGCCAATTTCGGCCGTTAGCGAATCGTCGTAGCCTTTGTCACTGGACAGCACCTTTGATCGACCAGAATGAACCAGCCAATGACCAACCAAGTGAAACTGCGCGGCTGTAGGTCGGTCGAATAAGGCGATTGAACCCAGCTCTCAATATTGTTTGCTTTCAAGCACTACCCAATAATACGGTTACTCGGGGTCTGGCACTGTGACGAGCAGTGGTGGCTTCTTGTAGTTGTGAGATACCATCCATTTGTCAATATGGTTGTCGAGGAACAAGCAATACACCGACGTAACATGGTGATTTCGCTTGGGCCCACGTATCCCCTTAGGATTCAGACGGCTTTATCTGCATTCGTACGAAATTGACGCTTGGCTCAGAGTTCAAGACCACCGATACCTCATTTAGGGCCGGGTGCAGTTTCGCAGTCGGCCCTTAAATGGACCGTCCACATTATATCTTGAGAACAGCACTCTGTGCAGCTATTGGTCCAACTCAGGATTAATTTGGGCTGCGTACTTTCCTTCTATGACGCCGATTCGAAAACCGAGCGCTAATTTTGACCATTCAGGTTCTTTTGAGTTTCTTGAGCTTTTCTCTTGTGACTAAGCTGGAGAAATATTACGAATACGTAGCCATATGAACCATATGAACCAGCTTCCAAAGAATAGAGAGGCTTGTGGCCCTAGTCCTTTAGCTTTTCTGCCATTCGTCTATATGTCTCCCCTGTTTGACGTCTATATGTATCCCCTGTTTGAATGAGATGACCTAATATTTCCATCAAGTTAGTGCTCAAACTGGAATGTCAAGTCGAGTTTGAGCATTTCAGGCAGGCTCTTTTTTGCATCAAATTATAAAGCTGAGTGCCGGAGTTACGCCGGGTATCGCTACCCGAGAGGGTGTCCGGCGTAGGGCTAATTTGCGAAGTCGAAATGCTAATCTCTGAATCGCTCTGGTTTTTGAGCGCCAAAATTAAGTGCAAAATGCTGTTGTCGGAAAATTACTTTTGTGTCGACCCTCCACTCTATATAGATTAGAAAATAATGAAAATTTAGAGAGAGCAAGAAGTCGAACCCACTATCTTATAGAGCAGTAAATTGGTTATCGAAACGCTTATAAAACATCGAGAAAACTCTTAAGTCGGAATGTTATGTTACAAAAAACCCATGATCTGCGGGCTATCCTAATACAGCGTCATTCGGAATTCATGAATCTTGGCCTTCTTATAATAACATAGCACTAGGAATTATGACCGAAAAAACTATTTTATAGGTATTCCTAAATAATCACCTGGACATAGTGATGCTTTACCACGAACACATGCCTGGACTATACCGCGTCGTTGGATTTGAAGTGAAGCCACGCTCGATAAAATCTGTTCAATTCATAAAAGACGGGGTTGGCCTACTACACTTTTCATTGCTTTTGTGTCAGTTTATTGTCCGTTTAACTCTCCAGGAGTGCGCTGGACTTGAGAAAGAGACAAACTATTATGAATTGAGAGAAGAAGACCAGCACATTCATTGGACCTATAGTGTTACATGGGAGCCCAGCGATGTGAGTTTATTTTAATTTTTCAAATCGATTAGTGTGCCTGGTTTTGTTATTTTTTGAAAGTCTGCAAAATTTACGAGGAAGTTAGGAAATGAGAGGGAACGAGTAGTTATAATATGTTTTTTTTCCGACCATGTAGCGCCACCCGGTCTGAGGCAACATTTTTTAGATTCCGTGGGCTAGTCGATGGGATGTCTACTTGTCAGTCAAAGCAGTTGATATTCACTGGTTCAGTATTCTCAACTCGATTGTCGTTGTGTTATCGCTGAGCGGTAGGTGCAAGCTTCAAATTTAAAAACCTTATGCTCGTAAAAGTTTCGCAGGTTTCTTGAGTGTGTCCATTGTACGTACTGTGCGCCGTGATATCGCTCACTATAACAAAGACGAAGCCGAGGTAAGTTAGTTGCTGTGAAGGTACATATTTTCTGACCTTCAAGGGTTGGAGACAAACTGTGCACGCACCTCCGAGGACGTCTCCCCATATTTGAGGTGAATGGGTCTGCAGCTGCAACAGCGTCCCATTTTCTCCGCTCAAAACTTAATGGCGGGTCTGGAGGGGGGAGGGTAGCTCCGAATGCCGCCCCCATACTCCGCCCAAGCTATCCTCAAGGTGCATCATTTGCCTCGAGCTGAAGGTCGTGCAACGAAAGACCTACTCAGCGGTAGAGAACAGTCAGAAGTGAGAGCGGGCGCGGACAAGCGCATTTGGCTACGATTAGGCATGTGGCAGGCCGTGCAGAAGCGCGGGCGGAGTATGGAGGCAGCACTTGGGTATCACTACTCTCTAGCCCCACTCCCGTACACTTTTCACCGGAGTTTCAAGCTACTGCTTCCACGGAACCGTTCTCCTCACACACGGCGGAGGTCAGTATCCACAGAGGTGAGCACACAGTTTGTTTGGTTCAAAAGACTCTTTGTGCAAGTTTGGAATCACCATAATGAAGATATGAACTTTTGCCGAACCTAAAGGGGTCAGGGATCTTCGGGGTGCGTGGATCAGTTTAGACGAGGTAGTTCTGTTCAAGTGCCATTTACCACAGTTGAACCAAGGAGCCTTTTGAATGTCCCTTTCGAGGTTATAAGTTCCCGAGCAGATTTTTGATAGTATGGTGCAAAAATGCGTTGGAACTGCTTTCACTGCTTCCTTCTATAGGACGACACTCTTGAAGAGACGGGTTGGAAACTTGTCCATGGCGATGTCTTTCGCCCTCCACCACATCAGATGATTCTTGTGAACATGGTAGGAACTGGCATACAACTGCTTGGAATGGTTGGGGTCATTGTTTGTGAGTCTTTATCTACTCAAATTATCGCTTGTGCGTCTTTTTCATATCAAAATATCATACCTCCTTTGACGTCACCTCTTATGAACTGAAAGCACTGCACTGCTGCTTTTTCAAAAACCTTAGTTTCCACTCATTGCGATAACACTTGTCTAGCCGCACTTAATAGATGACGGTTTTGTAATCATCTATTTACAGTCTTCGCAATGCTTGGAATGCTATCACCAGCGAGCCGTGGATCACTTATGTCAGCGGCTGTGTTCCTTTTCTCTTTCATGGGCCTTGTCAGCGGTTACCAAGCTGGTCGTCTATACAAGACGTTGAAAGGTCGCAACCCAATAAGATGTGCAATTCAGGTTCGTACACTCTTTATATGAGATATCTTCCTTCTGATCTCCAGGTGTTGTAATAGTTTCTTTCCCTTTTTCGCTTACTCTCAGACATTTTTTTAGACTGGAACACTCTTCCCATCGCTCATTCTTGGAAGTGGATTTGTGCTCAACTTCTTCCTTATTGGCAAACAGTCATCAGGAGCTGTGAGTTCTTCCCAACAGCTTTTCGAATCTGTCGGCGTCAGTTTTTATTAGGTCATCCCATTCAAAAGTGCCGAGACATATAGAGGAATGGCAGAAAAGCAAAGGGGATAGGGCAGCGGGCTACTATACCATTTGGAAGCTAGTACCTTTAGCTGTGTATCTGTGAAATTTGGCGAACCTACCCACAGAAGAAGTTCTCGAGAAATTGAAAAGAAGCCTGAGTGGTGAAAATCAGCGCCGGATTTTCAAATCAGGCGTCATAAGAGGAAAGTGCGCTGCTCAAATTTGACCTGCGCCGGACCAGTAGTTGTGTGTAATGGTGTTCTCGAAATACAAGGTGGAAGATTTGGTTCAGGAGCCCGAAGAAGGAAGAAAGGAAAAAATTTGTTGTCGTGGATGGTCCCATAATGTTCATCCTGCACAAGAAAAAGGGTGGATGAAGTCAAGCGCTGAATGTCTGATCCAGAGCCTGGACCTTTGTCGAGCTTCCCCGCGAGTCTGACATCCCTGCTGCAACTGCTGCCCGAGTTATGTCCGATAAACTGAGGATGGTCAAGAGGGTGTGCGCATGGGTACCTAATTTTCTTGTAGAAGCACGAACGCAGTACCGATTCTATGCCTCTAGCAGTAATGTTCTCAGCATGAGATGTCATTCACGACTGTGAAAACGCACCCAGCCCTAGATGAAATATGGGTGGTCTTGAAGTCTGAGCCATAAATCAAAAGCGTCAATTTTGTGTGAATGCAGATGAGAAGTCGCCCGAATTCTGCCATGAGGAGTTACGTGGGCGCAAGTGGATGATCATCATAGCAAAGGATTCCCACACTGTGGCTTTCAGGCGGCTCTATACAGAGAATAAAATCGTCGCTGTCGGTGTATATTGCCTGTTCCTCGGCAATCAGATCGACAAATGGATGATACCACACAACTACAAGAAGGCCACCGTTGCTCGTCATAGTGCCAGACCCCGAGTAACTGTATTGTAGGGCAGTGCTGGGACACAAACAATACTGAGACCTGGGTTCAATCGCCCCATTCGCCCATCATAAAGCCGTGCGATTCAACTGTTCTGGTCAGTCGAGGGTA